ACAGAGACAATTTTAACCGAGAAGATGGATTCTGGCTTAGCAATCATTGGAAGGACGTAATAAACCATTTCGACACACATTAGGGTGGGTAGAATAATACATAGTGTTATATTAAATGTATAAGGTATAGGTTGGTTTACAGCAATACAGTATATAATTTAATGTTGGCAGTATATAGTACGGTATATGCTCGTGTGATACAATAGAATAAAGTTTAGATGGAAGCATATTATATAATTTTTTTACGACGTAGAATTGTAATGTATTACTTGCTGTTAGTAACTCAGCTTAGTGTAGAGTATAGTAAGTATACTGATGGTGCTATGCAATTTATACTTTCGTTTTTTATGTAGTTTATACTTTAGTTTTCTACGTGGTTGTTGAGTAACTGCAGCTGCATATCATTAACATTCCTTTCCTTTGTTACTGCTAATCCCTGCACCCCCCCCTGGTGCTGTTGATCCTGCATAATGCATGGGCATAATATGACTTTGAAACCCCCCCGCCCACCTCCTACGCATTTTCCATGTATATGCTAAATTCCTCTTCATATGCACATTCTTTTGTTAAGGCGCTCTTTCTTCCACCTCCAACGCAGCTTATATATAAGCTCCTAGCTTGGCATTGTCTCATTCTTCACCTGAGGACGGCTGCTTGCGTTGTGGCCGAAACGTCGTGAGAAATTGTTTGTTGTGTTTTATTTTTATTATTTTATTACTTCCCTTCTACGTGACTTTACCGAAAGAACCAAGAAGATTACTTATTCTGTTCCGAGAGACGTTTGTATTTGTTATAATTGCAGCCCATTGTCAATCCACTGCTGGATGAAGTCCTCTCCAAGCCAGGACAATCATGGGGGGTCATACAATACGATTATGGGGAGTGTTGTGTGGTGAAGTTGGTGGTGTGGGAGGATGTAGCATCGGTTCAGATACAGCTCACGTCTTATGCTAATGCAGAGTCGGGAATCAAACTCGGTTAACTGCTTTCATATTGGAGTGCGCTAACCATTGTGCCACCGCTCCATTCTCTGCTCTATACAGACATTAATATGCAATTTAACACGTAGGCTTTCGCGAACAATATTATTCATAATAAACGTGTTTGGGTCAGATCGCGTTATTTATAAATGTGTCGTAGCCCTCCACCACCCGACACGGCCAATCGGCAAAAAAGTGTCACGTTGACAAAAGACAAATAGTTCACTACTTTAGCCCACCGGTGTGTTGAAGAGTGAAACCACAACATTTACAATTTTTGAGGGCGACGTGTCGCTGGTAGACCGGTGTGCGGTGTTTCATTTCACACTGCACTGGGGAACGTGACCCCTTGGGCTCGGGATCTACTCACGTGAAGGACTCTTTTGGTTCCACTGCCCAAGATAATTGTTCTTATTCACGACCCTGTTACTTGCAACTCCTATTATCCCTATGCGCTGTATGGTCTGCAGTTATCCACACATTTATCCTATGCATAGGTGGACTACATTTGCCAATAAACTCATAGAAAATAAGATCCGCAATATTGGTTCGTCACATCACCATAATTAAGTGGGGTTCTCCTGCAGTGCAGTTTGTCAATTATTTCTGTGCTTTGTGATTGCAAAACAAATTTCAGGTCATAAGGCTGGTAACCACTGCACCACACCGTTATATGTCTGCACATTGCAAGTCCATATTGCGTTATATTCTACTTGTATGCTATGTAGCAACGACAAAATATGAGACAAAAAGGGGTATGCAATGATTCTATGGAAAGTTAGAAATGGCATAATGGGATTAATTTACAGTGAGGGGAAATGACATTTGCATCATCATCATTAAAATGTGAACATAATTAAAGGCAAGAAAATGAAAACAGTTGATTAAAGGTTAGCTACCATGTTTTACTCAAGTTAGATACAGTATTTATTTGTATAAGTACAATTTACACATGTTTTGGCCATACTAACCAAACTCTAAACATTCGGATTCCTTTTCATAGGTCTAAAAAGTTTTATATACTGTAATAAAAAAAATTCCAGAACAATTTGATAGTATATTCTATGGGTAATTGACATTATGTATTGACTTTAAACTTTCGTGACTGCACGAATTCATATTCCTGATTATTTCGGTAAGGTCACGTAGATAGAAAATAAAAATAAAATACATTGAAAATAATAAAATAATAATTGTGGGTTTTTTGCTTTTATTATTTTCAATGTATTTTAAATTTTCTTTTAATTTTCTATCTACTTGACTTTACCGAAAGAACCAAGAATATGGCATTATGTACTAATTTAAACTGTTATAATGCTTACAATTGCGATGTCACCTGGTGCCACGTGACACAGCTCTTGGTGGGAAAATTACGGAAGTGACGCCGCTTTCGGTTTTCGGATCAATCTGAAGCAAAAAATAAAATTGTGATCATCCGAAATTTCATATTTAGGCCTGATTTTTACACTAATTGGGTGAATCAAAAATCAGGAACACATCTCTACTTGGCAAAATGGTATTTAAAACGAATTAGTATTTTCTAGAACCTAATTGATAGTTTATATGTAGGCTATAAAAAGTCATTATACTCAATGGAAAATTATTCAAGCCATCCTAGCTCTCACAAACCAGGGCCATAAAAAACGATTTACGAAAATGCAAAAGCCACACTGATGTTACATAAAATACCAAAAAGTCACATCAGATGGGGAGTTATTCACAGTGGTGTAAGTACACGTTGTCTGAAAGTTGGACTGGAGAAACAAAGCCATACATGAGAAGAGGTTTTCCCCTTTTTTTGGCAACAAAACAGATGTTGAGATGTTAAAACACCAAACTGAAACCTTTTGCAAGGAATCATGTCTGCATTAACCACAATACCTGTGGTCAGAATGCAAACAATTACTCTGATAGTGCGTTGTCTTTGCGCTGTACGCCTGTTGGCGTCCTCTGGTCTAACACCGTTTTGAGACTAGGATCAAAAGAAAGCTGTCTCTGGTGTGGACCAATCCGTTTCAAAGACAATGCATATATTATCAGAGTATGTTTTTTGTTTGCATTCTGACCGCAAGTATTGTGGTTAATGCAGACATGATTCCTTGTAAAAAGGTTTCAGTTTGGTGTTTTAACATCTTAACACCTGTTTTGTTGCCAGAAAAAAGGGGAAAACATATTCTCATATTTAAAATTAACCATCTATGGACCATTATCGTAAACCACTACAGTCTGCGCTCCTGCAGTGGAGGAATACCAAAACTACATAACTCTCTCCGGAAGCCCTTATGTGGCTTAGAAAACATCGAGAAGGTCATTTATATTGGCAAACGCAAAAACTATTCAGGAATAGATTTAACCATCTCAGATTTGCTGACAACATAGTCAACATGTATCCAATGACAACAGACTATAGAACATATTAGAATATGTTATACAAAGATGTCAAAGTTGGGCTCAAGATAAATAAGAGCAAAATAAAAGTCTGCAAAAAAAGTTGTATCGATCTGTGGAATGCAATTGGAAAATGCAGCTGAATGCATAAACTTAGGATAGATATTAAAGGATGACCCGGATCATGTAGATGAAATAAAGAGGCATACACAAGTAGGTTGGAGTGCTTTTATAAAGCTTATCTTGAAAATTTAAATTAACCTACCAATGTTCCAAAAGAATAACGTCACACAAAGCATTATACCTGCTTTGACATGAATCAGAAACATAAACTTGTATTAAGAAAATCTCAGAAGTGTACAGAGCGTGTAATAATGCATGGATCAAATGATGTTGAGACACAGAAAGGGGAACACATGGATTCGAGAACATACAACAGGTTAATGACGCAGTTCAAGCTGTTGAGAAGAGCGAGTGGTCTCGAGTAGGACACGTCACGAGAAGGGGCGATGGCCGGTGGTTGAGAATGTTGATTTTTAGTGGCAGCCAATGAATGAAATGCGCTCTGAGAGGAAAGATGAGCAACGGCTACAAACATGAGCAACTGCTTGGGGAGGCCTTCATCCAACAGTGGATCATGGCTGATTATGATGACGACGATTACGATAATCAAAGTACGATTCATTTAATATTTGTTAAACCTTGCACGTTCCATTAGACCTTGACTCAATTTTATTCTTCATGAGTCTCATTAACAAATGAACACTGTTTCTATGGAGGCAAAATGTATGCACAGTACAGTATTTATATTGTATCACTCTATTGGGTATATTTGGCAATGAATGAAATGATTTGTGTTTAATTCAAACACACTATAATGCCATATGTTGGTAGAAATGAAAAAAAAAACATTGAAATATAAATGAAATAACCATGAAACAAAACCATTTAAATGCTATACCATTCGTGATGGGGACATCAAATATATTACGTTTACTCAATTTGAAAACAATGAGAAAACAAGCTGTTATCTCATTAGCACTATAACAAAAATAATTTTACAATCGCGGAAATATGTTCTACCATTTACTGCTGTTAAATTCACTCAGATGCTTCTATAACTGCACAGTGATTCTGTTTACAGACATCACGATTGTAAAATAGATGTTTTTTTTTCAATAACCCACACTGGGTTATGGCATTGCATCTCGGAACAAACCATTTCAATATGAAGCTTGTACATGGCCATTTTAAGGGATGAATAAGCCAAAGCCAGATGGTAAACATGTTGTCAAATGCCTTCTAATGAAGCGGTGACTCGGTGCCAGAAATGGATGCGCATCGACTAATCAGAGCCATTGTGTCTCCGAGCCTCCTCCATCTGTCACGTCACCTACAAAACCCAGAGATGGTAGAATCCTTGTGAGGTCAGCAGACGCCCGCTCTGGCACAGAGAACACAGCTGGCAGACCAATTGTGTGCGTCCGTGCAAGCGTGCGCGCATGTGAATACAGTGCCGTGGTGGGGGGGTACCTCCGTCCCACGCCAGCACCGTTTCGTGTCCAGCCTGCGTCGCGTTGGCCCCCTGCTCTCTCGCCGGCTACGGTGAGCTGATGTCCTCGAGCCAGAGGGCCTTAGCACCCCACCCAACCCGCGCCGGTTCCCGGTGTGCAGGGCAGGTGGGGCGAACCGGCGCCAGCCTCCCCATGAGCTCGTGATGGAACGGCTGCTCTCTCCGTCAGCTGAGGAATCCCGATGGCTCTTGCAAGGCTGGCTCCACGAAACAGCAGACAAAGGTAAAATGGAGACAGGCTCACAGCTCGGCTTAGCATAATCCATAACGCTGCCAACATCGGTCAAAAATGTCATGCATTGTCCATGCTATGCCACGGAACGATCTAGAGATTAGTGATTATTGTTTACTTCATTAAAAAAAATGTGTGCTCGTGCATTCAATATATATTTAAATATGTGAATCACAGTATTTGCCTGTTTGGTTTGGCATGTGGGGATGTTTGTCATTAAACACCATTTGCTCCGAAGGTGTTCGAGGACAAATGGACACCAGATAAATATCTATTGATAATATTTCATATCCTCTCATGTAAACAAAAAAACAACCGTACTGCGTTATACGTGTAGGAAATTAAGTACTTAGTGATTTGCTCCATAAAAATTTTGTTAAATGTATTCAACATAAACGATACATAAATATGAATTTACCAATGTCCTTCTGCAAAGTGACACGAATGACGTACAAATTATTGTATCATCATGAAACACAACTAGAACTACATTATTTTGTCTCCTTTCATATTACAATTCACACACATTGTCTTGCATTGTTATGAAGGCTGCTCTGGCAGCAAGTCTGCTTTATTTTTATTAATTTGGACTGGAAAACTGTTCATAATTTGAGTACTAACACAATATAGCTTTTGCTATGATTGGGCAAATTGTAGGGAAGGCCACGACGTGGCCTCTTGTGTTTTCATTGTAGATACATCGTGCTCCCCCATCAGATAGCTCCATCAGCTACAGTACACGGGCTGCTCCCAAGTCCAGAGACACATCCTCTGATTCACATTGCAGCACCTCAGTCCTGCTATTGCTGGAGTGCCAACAAGCATCGGAGCAGCTGCCACCACCCAAATGTTCTGTGCTCACAGGTGAATGCCCACCTAAAGAACAGAGTGGCCGACGTCCAATTATAAATTCCAGCATTTTATCCCGCATCATGTAAATATCTCATAAGAAAAAAAAACGACTCGTGCCTGATGCTTGGTGCTAGTATTCCCCGAGTCACATCCAGCATAGTACAGCTGGAAGATGCATCCAGGTGTGGATTCAGTACAGCAGAGTGTGCCGCTACACTTAACACCACAAGTTCAAGCGGCATAGGGTACGAACTGATCATTTTACTCTCTGGCATATCTGCGTGCTGTGAATGGAGGACCATTGCCTAGAAGATCACCTCTTTTCTGACGAATGTGTTGAGTTTAAATGAAAAAAATGTGTTAACTGCATCATCATTGTATTTTATATCGGCACGCCTGAGTTGCATGTAGTATGCTCTAAACAATGCTGGCTAGATGTTGACAATCGCCGAGTTACAGTGCCTCTATAGGACGCGTGTGAGGAACGTGGGCGCAGGGAGAGGGCGTGGGTGGAGGGGGATGGTGATCAGTGCAAGCTCAAGTGCATATTTATTCACTTGTGTACTATTTACTACGTAGCCTTTGCAACCAGGCGAGGGCTCTTGCTGCACGTTGCTGCTTTGCCAAGGTTTGCATTTGGAGCAGAAACATGGGCAGGAATGTATGGACAATTTTTACTTTATGTTTGTTTATTTTTAGCGACTTGCTTACCTTTTCTCTATTTTGGAATCCTATCGTTGTTTTGTTCTGTATTGTTTCTTCTTGTAGCTCGCTGATCCGCCCACACTGGACATCTGTGGAAAAGAGCTGCATAGCTCATCGGATTCCTCCCCCAGTCTAAATAAAAATTCTGATTCTGTACATTTGGCCACAGTGACAGCAAAATAGATTTCAGTCTTATGCTTGATTCGGTAACATATACACAGTGTGCCCAGTTTGAGCTGTCAAGACGACGAGCCACTTATTCTGCGCAGCAAACGGCACTCAGATGTAACACATTGAAAATGGTGAAACACCCCCACGATTATGTGTTTTTTTCAGAAGCTAGAAATAACATCGCTCTGGGCTGGAATCGTGACCAAGTACGAGTACATTAAGTCCACAAACACTCGCTAGCATGCAGGGGCTCTGCAAACCTATACTCCTCACCGTACTTCTCTCTTTTTATGCCACAGATTGACTTGTCAACTGATGCCCGATATCTAACCTTTATGTAATTAACTTCATAATAATGCACAGTCATTGATAGTCTTGAACATATAGATTAAGGATATGCTGTACCCGTATGCTACGATCAATTGGGAAAACAAATACGGTACACATAATTTTGTGAATTGCCAACCGATATACACACACCAACAAAGAGATGAAGCTAGTTGTAATTACTGTCGAAACGTCGTACTCAGATTGTAAATGTTGTGGCTTGGCTCTCCAACACACCGGTTAGTGCTGTACTAGTGACGAATTGGCATGTTCAGTTTACGTGACAACCCTTACTAGTTGGCTGTGTCGGATGGTGGCGGGTTTAACGACACATTCATATATTTACGCGATATAACCCAATAAAAACCCGTAATATCGATGATTTTGGTTTAAGAAAGACTACGTGTTAAAGAGACAATTATCTATCTCATGGATATATTAATGCAATTCATACAATAAAAATGCATTTGCGTATGTTTTAAAACGGAAACAATACCAGCTCAGACCATAATTCTCACTTCACCCTGCTCCCTTTAGTGGCTTGGATGTTCAATAATCAATAGGCAGTTGTTTTGCAATGCCCACATTCATCCAGATTCCAGTGAGCATTCGCAGAGAAACGCAGTGATACCCCTTCAGCATACCTATTTGCACATTGTCACGCATTACTGTGCACTGCCCTGGTCAGCGTGACATGCAGCCCCTGATGTTTAATGAAATTAATGACCGTGATTATCAGCGAAAACTGCCTCGACCGTGTGTATATAAAGTGTAAATATTATGGAGGAACCTTGGTGTGTCACTCCATCCCATGAATATTGTGCTGTTTTATTTTATTTTGCACGGTGCCACTAAGCTGCCCTGTGAAAAATCGTCCGAGCACCATCAAGGACTTTCTCGCAGCATCACTCTTCCCCTGGCATGTGCCTGTCGCAGATAAATACGACACAGCCTGATATAAAATCTAACAGCAAGATGATTTCTTGAGGAATAAAACCAAATTCACTTTTAGTTCCTAATAGATGATGAATGTTCAATATAGCTTGGCGCACTACCAGTTCCATTACTGCGGGTGCCTCTGACTAATGCATGGGGATTGTGTATTAAAGAAAAGTGCCAAAGAGAATTGGCAAACCTATAAAAACGCATTGAGCGCAAGGTATAACCCCCACTTCTCTGCCCACAATTCCAACATTTCAAAACTACTTGTCGGTACGATGTGGCTGCGAATGTTTATGTTTCGTGAAGCGAGTGACAATGTCTCCCCATTATAAATTATTAAATGAAGCACATATATCCTTCCCAAATCACACCTGTTGTCGATTCTCTCCTGACACATCAGCAGGGGCATGAGCTCATGTCACGATACCATTATAACCTGTACCACCTTTAACACTACTAATATATGTCAACGTGCCAAGTGGGTTCCTGCTGAAAGCCGAGATTCGGCAATTATCAGATGCAAAAAACAAAACGTTGGTATTCAATGCCCCTCAATGTATTTTTTCATTGAAGCGACAGACTGATGTTTGAAGCAGAAACAATTGATGTGATTGACTACATGCACATTAAATGCATAGAAACCCTGAATGTCAGAACAGGTGTGTTCTAGTCTCTCACGTATGCCTTAAAGAAACAATATCACGTTCACTGCCTTATATAAGCATGATATCCACTACAGTCATTGCCTGTATGTATGTTTTTACGATATTACATGTCCCTTAATGTATAGTACGTGTTTCCCATCTGGTGTTCCAATGTGGAATTGTATACTCTTGTGATGTGGAATGTGCTCCAGATTCCTTGGCTGATGAAGGACCTGAAATTAAGGTGGTGTGTGCAAGTGTAAATCTCAAGTATGTTAACCTTCTTTAAATGCACTTTCCTTCATGTATACTTTATCTCCATTACCAATGGACATTCTCCATTTAAGAATGTATTCACATTGGTAACGATGTGCTGCTGCAGCAACAGCATTGTTTATACGACATTAGGAGTGGTGCAATAGTGGTAAGTGCGCTGAAATATAAACCCAGCAACTAAGGTTCGATTCCCAGCCAACAACAGTGGCAAGTGATATCTGGACTTGTCCTGGGCCCCCTCCTTTACCAACCTGCACTGACAAATGTGATGAAGTATGGTCAAACAACATGACTGACACGGCATGGAAAGGCCCCCATGAGTGGATTTATACAGGGCTCTAAATTATAATAAATATTTCTGAAATTCTAGTTATAATTTATAAGAACAGGAGTGTCATGTTTTGTGTTAATGATGCCGTCTATTTTATAGACATTTTAAAAATAAAACCAGCCCTATCTATGCCCAATTCTGTGTGCTTGTGGCCACGAATTGTGATATGTACTTATGTCACGAAAAAATATAGTCTTGTGTATTTCTGTATAATTACTGGTTATGCGTTCACATAAAATATTCTCTGCAAAACCAATTTTTTTTTGACAATGCTTGAAAAAAAAATGAGAAGAGATAAATTCGTGGTTAATTTGGTTTTACTTCATTCTACGGCCGTGTGTAGTGACTGACTTGGAGACGTAAGTTCTTGGAGGCAGTTCTTTAATTAACACCGAGCACACTTTGTACAATACACACCCTACATTGTTACACACTCCTCTGTCTCTCTACACTGGTTGCTAGCCTACACACACAACACGAGCCGTCTGACACTGACGGCGCTGAACTAAGACAGCCAACTACCGTCTAGCAACGCAATGTCAAGTGACGACGACAGCGACAAGGGTGACGATCTTCAGCAGCAACGACGGGGATCCCACTCCAAACGACAGCCCCGAGGTCCCCTCCCGGGGCCCTTCTTATACTGTCAGCGTGGCCTGGCTCCGCCCTGGCCACGCCCCCTTCTGGAACCTACCAGCGGGCACTCCACGTGTCCCTTCTGTAACCTTTCCCCTAGATCCCTC